GTATTTTGTTATGTATTACGTTAAAATTAGTATTACGTTAAAACAAATCACCATAGACGGAAGGGAAAAGATTAATTTGGAAAATAACGATTTCAGATGCTTGTAAATATATTAAAAACAGATTTTCAAACTTTCATTAGCAGCATTTGTTTGTTTTGTATCAATTATATATATAGTACACCATAGTACATCTTCATTCCTTTTGGTCTTTAATTAGCGTGCCATCTAAAATGTTTGTTTTTTTCTATAGTTTTTAATCCTGTTGCTCAGCTTTTTCCATTTAAATAAACTCAAATAGCAGAAATCGTATTCATTTGTAACCACTAACCATATGTACAATTGAATCATGGCATGCGTAAGAACTTGACACACGTTTTTTTGTTTTTGCTGCATAATTATGCTTCGTGGTTGACGTGTAACGGTCCGTTTGAAGTTTTCCTTTGTATCTCGACCAAAACAAACATCGGCCACCATCTCCATGGCGTCGTTCTTCAACAAAGCAAGAGCGAAAGTGTATACCACCCTCTTTCAAAAGATGGGCAGAGCGAATGTACTTGTTACGTAACATGGCCTAACTTCAACAACGATGAGAGCTATTTGGAGTTTGTACAAGTGTTCTTATTGTTTGAGGCTTTATACAAATGCCTCTGTACAACACACGAATGGGCCTATTTATTTTAGGTATATAATAGTAAAATAGATAAATTCTTCAAAGCTATGAAGCTATGTAGGAAATCGTTTTGAGTGGGTTTGTTGAATGCCTCGTTACAGGGTCTAGAAAAAAGTGCATACACTGGAACAAAAACGTTTGACCCAGTGTAGTAATGCAATAGTATTGCGTAGCTTTATTTTCGCCATACAATACTCAACGTTTAAATTTGTACCGAAAGCGTCATAAGTTTGACTCATCTGAACACAAATGTATACAAGTCATGTATGAAAGTTAAAACAACGCCAATTTAAGCCTAAGGGCATGCAAGTCAAAGTGTCTCATGATGTATAATAAATTCTCATTGTAATTGTATTAAAAATGAATAGATCAGGCGAATTAACAAGCATATGATTTTATTTTATTTTATTTTATTTCTGCATTTTTTCCAAATAAAATATAAGTGAATAACAAAGAACATAATATACATGTAAGGTATAATACAACATAAACAAACAATAATTTCTTCATGTCAAAATGTTATTTTTTACATGATATATGTACATATAATAACGAAACTTATTATTTCCATAACATATGATCATAAATTTAAAGTATCATCCGAACTATTCTGTTGGAAAAGTGCAGGAGACCACAATCATAAGCAAAGCTTGACAAGGATGGCGGCCTCAAAAAAAAAAACAAGACAAAAAAAAAATCTTAAGGTAAAACTTAAAATGAAAAAGTGTTCAAACGATCTTTGTGTATGAGTTGGTGAGTGTGTTGTGCAAGTGTATATATATATATATATATATATATATATATATATATTGTGTGTGCGTGTGTGCATATAATATGATAATGTTGCTCTCGATAATACAAATTATGCAGGTACTATGTTTATAATACTGGGTAACCTATTTTATTGCAATTCGACTTTGATTTCAATTTAGAAGTATGAAGCTCAAGTAATCATAGATTAGGTGACATATCAAGATTTTATAACACTTTTTCTGTTTTCAGATTTCTGTCAAAAGAACTTTACATGCAATTATGCTTTGTAACGTACTATATAATTATACTTTGTAACGTACTATGTTATTACACTTCTATTTTAAATGTTTCAAACAATGATAGCCAAACCTATATCAGGAAATTTCAAGGATAATGATACACTCGAAAATAAGTTAATTACTTGATAGGTCTATTAAAAAAATAACCTTTTACTATCGTTTATTAATTTTGCACAAATTGCTTTCATTGGGCGCTTTTACGAGATTAATTTTGTAAGACGTATTTTAGATCGCCTGCGATAACATGGTTACTCATTACTCATTCGATATGTATAATAAAAAGGTAAGTAATTTAATATGGTACAAATCGTTTTTATAATCTTGAAAGATGGCAAAACAGTTTAACGTCGACAGCAATTAGATGCACCTTTTTTTAAACATAACCTAGTAGTAATCTAATATGTAGAAAATCTGCATGATTATTAGATTCTAAGAACAACATACAGTATCATTGATTTTCGTGTATTATAATCAATGTATTATAGCAACTGGAACTGTATTCCCTGCACCAAGAATTACATCTTACTTTTCAAAATATATTTTGTTGTTGACAATGTCCCTTGTCTAAACCTGAAATATCAACAACTAGCACGATATAAAACACAGCTTTTGATTATATTAAGAGGTATACATGGAGTGTGCATGAGATACCACCGGGTTGTGCAGAACTAGTCCCAAAAAGCTGCCCTTTTAATATGTGGGGATGAATAAGAAGGAAGAAAACGGCTGCAGGGTTTGGAATAAGAATTCCATCATGACAGATAACTGGTCGCATACTGCTCCTAAGAAATAACAAGTTCTTTATGGAACACAGTCGAGTGAGAAAAAATCATAATAATGATATGAAAGAGAAGAATTCAAAAAGTTCGTTCATAAACCCAATGAATTTATGACAAAGAACATGAAATACAAAGACAAATTCAATAATTTACAACCACACATACAAATGCGTGAAATTGTTCAATATTCTAAGTAAAATGTTTAGCTACTTGGCAGGTTGGAGGAACAAACTTAACTGCTTTTTAATCAAGTTCAGTACATTGTGAATTTTTCGCCATTGAAGTTCATAAAAACCATAAAGTCACATAGACCAAATTATCAATAAATTTAATTTGGGAACGAGTTTTCCAGATAGGTTATATATCATATCTCAAAGATCTAATTAAATCCTTTTGATTGTAAAATATACGTGCATTGTATAAGAAGTGATTAAAAAACATTTGACGTTCAGACCTTCAGGCTCTTAATTTCTTCATTACAAGCCGACTTCCTTTTTTATGTGTATATAACTGTTATGCCTGGCAGGTATTTGCAATATTTATATCTTCTTAAGTGCAGTGTAAGAAGTGATAGAAAATATTTGATATTATAGCCCTCTTATTTTAGGTTTTTGTGTATCGCTGTTAGGCCTGGCAGGCATGTGTAATATTGATGCCTACTAACGTGCATTGTAAGAAGTGATAGAAAATAACTGATATATAGCTGACCTATTTTCTTGTGTACATTTAACTGTTAGCTAGGCCCGGCGGGTATGTGCAATAGTGACGTCTTTTTAGGTGCAGTGTAAGAAGTGATATAAAATAATTGATACAATTAGTTGACCTATTTGTGTGTATATTTAGCTGTCAGGCCTGGCGGGTACAGTGTATGTGCAATATTGATGCCTACTAAAGCTACGACCACAAAGGTTCATACGAACGATTATTTCGTACGAATCTCCCCTTTTTTCCATTGTCTTCCCGAATTTCCATTGTTTGAAAATCGTTCGTATATGGCGTTCGTAGCAGTTCGTAATGGCATTTGTGACCGAGGATTTACGTGCAGTGTAGATAGAAATAGGCTAATTTCTGACCTATTTTCTTGTGTTAATTTAGCTGTCAGGCCTGGCAGGTATGATGCGCAAGATTGATCCCATGGTTAACGGGTTACCGATGCATTACCATTTATACCACGTAGTACATCAAGTGCATCGTGACATTTGATTATTATCTACATGTGCAAAAAAAACTCATTAAGAGCTATATGCATGTAGGGCAACCATGAAACCCATTTGTCTGCCAGGCACCATAGGCTATACTGCGGTTTAAACAGAATGATGGTATTTTGAAAAGAAAATGCATTGAAGTTCTGACGTATGATAAAAAAACAAGTACTACAATGGACCTCCAGGATACGGTTATGCTAGATAGGAGAAGCATAATAGAGGTATAAAAACTTATATTATGTACGATGCATTTCCATTGATGGTACAACAAATCGGGTTGTAAATTTTTCATCCAAAAATGTCACGACCCGATTCACACATCTTGAACAAAGAAGGTGACTTTGCAAAAATCATTCATCAAAGCACGATATTGATCAGACAGTGCATGTGCAGAGCCATTTATATACACAGAGTTTGGCTAATTACTTCGTTCAGATGGATTCATGTGGCGTGTTTGTGGCGTGTCCTACTCGAAGAGGGTTGGCCAAAATCTGTATAACATATACAGTGCGTATTGAATACAACCCAACCTCGGTATTAAAAAGAAATAACCATTGTGATCTTGGTAAAGGGTGACCCCAGGGTGACTCTTATTCTGTCTGATACCGTATTCATAATTGTGCTGCAACGCATGACTGAGCTACATGCTTTTCAAAAAGTATTGTCAAACTGATCCTCTTGTACCAAGTTTGTGCTGAAGCAATGTGGGTCATAAGCCATTATGCCTATGTGTGTGTTATCTTATTCCAAAAACAATTGCTCACTTATTTACATTGACTATAATGTATTTGAAAAGAATATGTGTAAATTAATATCAAGTAATCAACCCAAACTCAAGGAAATGCTTATTTCAAGCAAAATTCTTTTCGTTACGATGATTACAATATTGACCTCATTCGCATCCCTTGTTCTTGCAAACGAATATTATACGTATTTGCCCAATTTTTGTTTTGTTTTTTGTGGTCAATATAACCATCGAAAAATGGCCCGAAGTAAAACATGCTAATTACGATCCTCGCAGACGATATCACGTGACGAGCTGTAGACCAATCATAACGTTTTATATGTAAGAAATTATTTGTATTAAATCCCCACTGTACTACTTGCGCCCTCTATATAGCAAACAATGCCTAATCGGTGCTTGTTGGTCCCCCATGATCCCCCTTTTCTTATGTTATTGAGAGCTGATTAGATGAGATAATAACCTCTCATTGACCTTGCAGGGAGGTATAATCCCCCTGGCCAAACTAGTGCAGACGGTCTTTAATATATCCTATGTTTTCTTTCTTCACAGCAACCACCACCACCACCACCGATGGCAATGAACCCCGTGGGGGCCCAGCCGGTGGGGAAGGCCCCTGTTAATTGGATGCCCGCCCCTCAGGTTGCCGCGCCCCAGGGGTGTCCACCAGGTCTGGAATACCTCACGCAAGTCGACCAGCTGCTCGTTCACCAGATCGTCGAGCTTTTCGAAAGTAAGACGTCATTCGTGTTAATTACACGAAATGTATGATATTTAGTAGGCCTAATTTCACCTGGTTTGATTATTTACTTCGAAAGTCGGTTCATAATAACATGAAATGTTTGTCATTTTGTAATTTCACTTCTTTTGATTATTAATTTCGAAAATCGATTTATTGTATTTCCATCATATTGTGTAAATAGTCTTCATCTACGTGTATAAATCTAGTGTCTATATTTTCGAGTTACATAATCATTTCGAGTATACAGTTCCCAGATTTATTTAACGTTAAAGTGCTTAACACTTCTTTATGATAAAATTATTTACTCGCAATAATTGATTAGTTGCCACCAATCATGGTGTCGTGAACGGAGCCAGCCCTAGCTCTTGCTATTTGATAGCCCAATTTACCAAATGTGTAATTATTAGGCCAATTCGCACATTTGGATCGCGATCATTCAAAATAATCAACCTTTCATACGCCGGAAAAAATCTCACCGCACGCCAAACGCTTGGCCAAATAATCGCGATTGTTTTAAAAAAAAAGAATCGCACTTTTGGTGGGATTCTATAATCGCGCTCAGGATCTCACTTTTTGCTGAGAGTTTTGGGTTCACACACATCCTTTTAAAAAGGTGAGATTCTAATCGTGATTCAAAAATCGATTTCCCGATGTGACTGATTTGTCTGTGTGTGAATCCCGCTGCTGTCATGCTGAAATACAGTGTTACTGGAACTTATGGTAGTAAATAAATGTATGAATGATACCCTGTACGACCAATAGATGAAAAATTAACCTAGAAGCACAAATAAATGGTATAGGACCTAGTTAATTATAATTGAGACTTTTTACTTCTTGTAATACCATCCCAGACAACTATTAAAAATCCCCATCCGTGATATTATTTTAAACCCGGCTATTCATCCTGTGGAAAAAACTACCAATGCATGGAAAAAACTAGTCAACTACACTGGGCAGTTACCTCGAGAAAATGTATTCATCAGGGGGAATTACCCCCCCCCCCCCCCCCTTCCACTTCCTCCCCTATGTTAACCCCATAGTAAAGTGATTAAACATTTATATTGCATAATGGGATGCGGAGAAAATATATTATCAAATCTGTATTCTACATTTACACGTTCTAATTTCTAAATCAAGTTGACTTTGAATGAGTTGGTTACAATTAATACTTACGTGAAAAAAGAAGAAAACATCGTATTACAATTCTTTTGGATGACAAAGCTCTCCGCTTGAAATTTTTGTTTTCTTATTTTTGTCTTGTTTTGTGTGTTTGTTTTCTGTTTACTTGTTTGCTGTTTGTTTGTATGCTTTTTGTATCATTGTCATTTATCGTTACTGATTTCATTCATTTCTTTGCAGTGTTCACTGGAGTTGAGATGGCAAACAGATATGCCATCAAGAACAGTCTGGGACAACAAGTCTACTTTGCTCACGAAGGTATATACACCCTATGTATCTTTTTAATGAAAACAAAAATAGTGTAATATCCTCGAATTCTGACTCCAAAGTCTTCTCTCAAATTGAATATAATATAGAATACTTATTAACGACGCGCGAGACGCTCCGCTTGTTTTGCATCTTTACATCGATGGGCATGTATGAACTTAGTTCAGACAAGTCGGTCGTAAAATGAATGTGACGTTTATCACAAATTGATATTATCCGTATCATCTATAGATATAAAACTTGGACGTGACAGTGCTGTTAATACTATATTCTATTTTTGTTTGAATTTACAGAGTCCGATTTCTGCATGCGTCAATGCTGTGGACCCCAGCGTGGTTTCATCATCCATATCACGGATAACAGCCAACAGGTATGCCTTTTTTCCGTCAGATGTACTTCTGCGTCACTCCTCAACTGTCACACAACAAGTCCGAAAATGTCACAACCAACTTCTGTCATTACTTTTTAAATTCTGTCACGTTGCTATCGTGCCACATCCCATTCTTGTCACACTCCGATTCATTTACACCCCGATTTTAACACATTCTCCTTTTCAACGTTCTGTTTCCGTCACATATTTGCATGTATAGTCTCACCCCCTTCGTTTGCCACATCCTTCTCCTGTCACACCCTCTTTTCACATCCGTTTCTATCCCCACTTCCACCTTAGTTACACTCCTTCCTCACATATTCCTACTTCTGTGACAACGTCACACGTACACCATCTTCTGTGACAACGTAATTTTCACTATTTCTTCTATCACCCAGTCACAATAATCATGACCGTCATACTTCTGTTCTATCCCTCTTCTGTCCATTCCTCTTCAGTAACAATCGTGACACCCTCTTCTGTCATACCACTATTTAGCCACACCCTCTTTCACCGCATCCCTCTCCTTCAGATTCCAAATAGAATGAAAAACATATTTAGAAATTTAAATAATGAAAAAATGAAGAATGAAAAGTTATTAATGAAAAATCACGTTGTAAGCTCATTGGTGTGTGATTTAATTGTTATTGGTAACGAGCAGAAGGGTTTCGTTGGAAACTGCACCCTACCCCCCGCCAAGCACAAGATGGAATTAGTCATTGAGTTGGCACAATTACCATTATATCGCCTGATTATATCAATTTAGGTGGTCCCCTGTTCAACCAGCATTAAATTATCGACGAACACTAACCAATTTTTCATTCCGTTTGCCTTTCTTGCGTCAATATTTGACCCGGTGCAGGAGGTGATGCGTCTAGTCCGTGAATTCAAGTGCTGCGCTGGCTGTGGATGGTGCGCCAACAGCGATTCATGTTCCTTCGAAGTCAAAGTAGAAGCTCCCGTCGGAAACGTTGTCGGATACGTTAAGCAATCGTAAGTGCTTTTAAATTGACGCAACTATCTCCCCATGTGACGTATTTATTATTGTCAAAAAAAAATTTTTGGCAACTAATATAGTATGATAAATTAAAGCATTGGCCATGATTTTTTTTTGTTTACTATGGTCAGTTAGGTTTAAAAAAAGGGTTTCTATATACACATAGCACAGAAGCGTCGTTGTTGCTGACGGAAGATTCCGTCAAAGACTGGCGCGGTCTTTGATGTATCATGTGAAAGTGATATTGTACATAGAGTGAATACAAAATAAAAAGATGATGATTGGAATACATTAGTGGCGTTAGTGGAAGTAACGCAATCGAAATGATGCCTCATGGCATGGGCGTAAATCCTTACGTAATACCTATTGTTCAGGGGGGATGAATGAATAGATCATCCCCGTGAACAATAGGTATTACGTAAGGACTTACGCTCATGCTCATGCGTAACGGGCGTTATGCTCGATTTTCCGAAGATGTATAATTTCGAACACACACAAATCTTCAACACTATTTGTGGATTCAGTAAACCGATGTTGAAATAAGGAATTTTAAAATCGCAAATTAGATGTGATTATCTGAAGGTTCAAAATATTTAATCTTTATATTTCAAAGATTTCAATATATTTCAACGAATTCTGACCTATCATGACGATAAGACATAATTCGGCTCTGACTGTAAATGCTGCACCTTTATAACAATGAGCAGTGGCTGTAATAATAAAGGCAATCGTATGCTTTTATGAAGGTATATGTCATTAGTGAAGGCGATAGTACATACTATCAGTGCTTGATTGGCTCTCAACTCAATCCCTTTCTCCCTCATTCTGCTGATCTAACCTCCTTTTTCTAGAGCTTTTGTAATCATTCATTTTCCCTTTCTATCTTTTTTTTGTATTGCATTTTACTTTATTCTCCATTTATTGCTCTCTTTTATTTTTTTACCAAAAAATTCATAATTTTGTTGCTACATATTTTTTAATTTATTAATTTTCTGAGTATACTTTGTTCAAGATATATTGTAAAACAGCATCTGACGAACTTATACTTCAACAAGCTCTGCTTCTAGTTAGTTCCTCTTTTCTCGTGCTATTACTATTATATCTGTCGTTTCATTGTATATTTTTTGTAATTAATATTCACTGTATTATGTTTTGCATGAGAAATAAAATCATTTGAATCAATCATTGCACAATCAGTAATGCTTTTTTTCAGACAATATTACATGGGGCCAAAGTTTGATATCCTTGATGCTGAGAGGAGGCCTGTTGTCAAGATTAAGGGACCTTACTGTATGTGTCAAGACATCTGTTGCCAAGACGATATCGAATTTGATGTAAGTTACAACCAAGACCTGGGCCCCGTTGCACAAAACTTACCATTGATGATAACTTTGCCATCAACGGTAACTAACTACCATGGAAACCTTGATTTTGATTGGCTGTTGAGCCCTGTTTCTATGGTAGTTGCCATTGATGGCAAAGTTATCATCAATGTTAAGTTTTATGCAACGGGGTCCAGCAGCCAGTCAAGGTTTCTCCTTCTTTTTAACTTTAGTTTCTTTTCCGAAAACATAGAGGGATTAAGAGGGTAAAGAATTGATCGTTCCAAAGGAGGTACATCACGTACATCCTCCCTTTCCTTCAGCGACTGCATTACCTACTGATTTTCTTTTTTTCTGAGGAATATAAAATCAAACTTCTAGCTTTGAAAGAGTTGCAGTCAATAATTTGCATTACATGATAATCCCTATATTATATAAACAATTCAGAGGAATTTTACTTTTGATAAAATCAAAATGTAGTCATAATAGTTCTGACGATGATAATTCAAAGGAAAATTTCGCACTGTGTGTGGAATTACACTTCCCTCATTTTTGTAATATCAGGTTTCTTTATATTGTTGAATACCAAGATATCTTACGTGCATTCTGCTTTCAGTCTCGTTTTCTCCTAAGATGAATGTTCAAGCAAATGATTAGTGCTCTTCAGGGATTGTTTCACAAAGACTAAGATAAACTTTAAATTGGACTTAACTATGGCAGGCTGTTCATGCCACTATTTATTATCATCATTCACTGGCATTGGTTTCTCAAGGGACGTACCAATCTTGGTTACAAATCTACAGAATTTACATTTGTTGATAGTTCATAATTGAAGGGAAAAAATATTATCTAAAGATCATAATTGAGAGACCAATGGTGAGAGCAACCAGTGGCATGAACAGCCTGCCATAGTTAAGTCCAACTTAAAGTCAATCTTAGTCTTTGTGAAACACTCCCCTGGACGTAACTAGTTTGTAACTTTCGCCGAATGTTTACGGAGTAGAATCAAGTCAACAGATATACTCTGAATTTATTTATACCCGGAACAGAATATACGAACAGAATATACCTCTTTCACTTTCTTATTGTGATCAATATTCCATGACATTGTGCCCCTGTTCCATCGTCCGTTTGCAGGTCTTTACTGGTGACATGGCCACGACAATTGGAAAGGTTTCCAAGCAGTGGCCCGGATGTTTTAAGGCTGCGTGGACCGACGCCGATAACTTTGGTGTGACATGTAAGTTACCGGGAAAATTGCGAATTAAAGACCGTCAGTACTACTGGGCCAGAAGGGATTAGACCACCCAGCCAGGTCACTGGCAGGTGGCTATCTAATCAACTCACCTCTCAACTAACATAACAAAAAAAGAGGATCATGGGGGACCAACGGGCACCGATTTGGGAAGTTTTCTATATACAGTAGAGGGAGCAAGTAGCCATAAGTAGGACAGTGGGGCTTTAATGTTATATATTTTACCATTTAAAGAATTGGAAGAACCTGAAGCCACAGTTCCGGAAAGCACATTTAATAGTGCAGTTCCATTCGTTTACTTTATCAGAAGTAAATCTACCAGATTGATTGCAGAAACATTTTTCGATTGTCATATTCAGTGCCTGTGTTGGTTTAAGTTTCACTTGAATGCAAAATTCTGATTCGAACGTGTATTAACAAAAACAAAACACAACTAAAATCATACTAGTAGAAAATCTAAACATCAGTATTGAATGTAATAATAGGAAATGTATATTCAAGAGTGGTTTTTGAACGTTTCGATGAAGGATTTATTTAAATTGATATCCATACTGTTTTTTTTCTTCAATTTTTCTTGGAGGATTCTTTTTTCGTTTTTTTGCATTATAGATCTTGTTTTTATATACATTTGGTTATAACGTATACATTGTAAAAAATCCATACCACATACTCGCATAGCGATGCAAGACTTCTGAACTGGTGGCCATAATAGACCAGTGATTGTTATGTGCGTACTCTACGTCATTTAAGTAAAGCCCAAAGTTAGTATTCCAAACTTGCACTTATAAATGCAAAATCATTGATACCTGAGCAATGCCTCGGTCTAGTTTTCAGGGTGATACTAGAGTGCGTTTTAGTGCATTTAATTGCCATAGCATACATTAAAGGGAAAGTCCACCCTGAAATTAAGTTAGTTTTAATAGGAGTAGAAAAATGAGAGAGACAAGTCAGTGAAAGTTTGAGCAAATTTCGATTAAAAATAAGGAAGTTAGGATTTTTGAAGTTGTGATCAATCAAACACAAATTGGCAACTCTATGACGTATCATGCGAGCTCAACTTCCATTTGCTCAGTACTAAAAAAATCTAAAATTTTCATTTTCCCTCAAGAAAAATTTCAACCGTACATGCACCTTAAATATAATAATTGCAAATATGTTTCTATACTCCCCCTGCAAGGAACAAATATATATTCCATCATCAATAACGAAGAAAACATGATTTTATGGAATATTATGCACAAAGCAAATGAAGGAGAGCTCGTATAATAAGTCACAGAGTTGCCAATTTGTATTTGATTGATCACAACTTCAATAATTCATAACTTTCTTATTTTCATTCAGAATTTGCTCAAACTTTCACTCAACTGATTTTCTTATTATTCTGCCTCTATCGAAACAAACTTATTTTGGGGGTGGACTTTCCCTTTAATCAAAGTTTGATGATGTGTTCTCATTATCCAATTTTAGTCCCCGCTGACCTGCATGTAAACGTGAAGGCGACTCTTTTGGCGGCTGTGTTCCTCATTGTAAGTTGTATATTCATACTTTTCCTTCACCAAAAGTAGCATGCATGTTTACCTTGTGGACACGTATTATGTCACTTATGAATTAATAGCATGATTAGTAGTGTATAGGTGTGTTCTGTTTCCTTTTAGTCAAAAAGACATTAATCATTTTATTGTAAATATAACACACTTCTGGTTCTCAGCAGAGAATATTTTGACAATAAAAGAGAATTGAACATTTTTGTAAAATTAGTTTACTGATTCCTCTATATCTTACGTTCTTCCTTAATAATCTTTAAAAGTGGCGTATCCAGTAAGGGGGAGGGTAAACCGGCTCCTCCACCCTCCGATATGCCAGTGTTTATAATAGTGATAAAATATTTCTTCCTTATACAAAGGGAAGATAATACACGCACAAACAATTCCACTTTTCCAGAGTCTGACATTTTGAAGGCAGCCCAAAAAGTTTGACTCGTATGAATCGTAGCCTATCTCTTCACGTTTATTTTCTTTTAGTCCCTCTAGATATTCCCCCCTGCTAACCTCTTTGGTCCTCCCCCTCCCTCCCTCTCCCTCTCCCCTCCACCTATCATTATTTCTCTACTTCTCTTCCTATCATCTCTATCCCTCATTCTTTCCCCCTCGCTGCCCCCTTTCTCTCTCTCTCTCTCTCTCTCTCCCTCTCTCTTTGCCCCTTTCTCGATCTGCCCCCTCTCTATACACATCTTTTCTACACCCCTCTCTCTCTCCTCCCCCTTCCCCCCTCCCCCTCCCCCTCTCTCTCCCTCTCTGCCCCTCTTTCGATCTCAGCTCCCTCTCCTCATCTCCAAGTAGACAATGAAGACATGTGTTCTGATTTGATGAGTGTTCTAACTTGCATGTTTGACTTCATGAATATTTATTATTTGATACATCTTAGTAGTGTTGTTTGGTTTTTTATTTATCTTTAGTATTATTAATTATTTATCTTTTCCTTCATTGTGATATCTCTCTCTCTCCCTATCTCTCTCTCTTTCTCTCTCTCCATCTCTCTCTCTCTCTCTCTCTCTTTCACATTTGTCCTGTGTACTTCGTGTAGGACTTCATGTTCTTCGAGACGTCAAACAATAACAACAATTAAATAAAAGGTAAAGTTCAACTATACTGGGAGGGACTAACTTGGAGGGAAACATTAGAACGTGGAGAGGAATGGCGATGCAAGAGTGTACTCAGGTGGCAGAAAACAGAGATGTATATAGAAAAAAAATGTTGCCATCAAACTCCGAGCTGGGAGAAGATACCTTGACAAATTTTAAAAAGCTCTAAATTTCATTCTGCGACATGTCATTCATAACTCAATTCTCTATAGGTCATTTACACTTGGGTCCAATCGTCTTCATCTTACTAACATCGCGACTAACTAGGTTATAATAGTATGAACGGGTCTGATACCTTACAACCACCATTGGTTTGTTTTTGCCGGGGAATTGTCTTTTCTTGTCTATAGTCGGTCATTTTGATCTCAAAATAATACCATTGTGTCACAAAAAAGCTCTTTCTGTTCTTACCAAGTTCGAACTAGAATTGACTTCTTGCAGTGCAAATGTCATGATTAAGCCTATTATACCCGCCCCCCCCCCCCGCCCACTCAGTGTTATTTAGGGTACGCATATGCTTGTTCCCTCTTTTTGAAAGCACCCCCTATCTGAGGACTGCCAACATTTCCGAACCCTCCTTTCTCGGGCTTTTCCCGGGTTTTTTCTGCCTTGGAGACCCCCCTAAATCAGGAAAAAATGCTCAATGTACCCCCCTAAATTCGGAATAATTTCTCAGGAGTCCAAAGAGATGAGAGAAACTTAACGAAAAAACACCCCCTTTTTAAAGAAATCTCCTGGTGAAAAGTCAAATACACCCCTTTTTTTTACAATTCTCGGGCCGGACTTTGTCGCACGAAAAGTACCCCTTTACCGGACATTTTGGACTCGGGACTTCTGGACTCGCCCACAATAATGCACCGTTATTAAGGGCGGCAACTCTGTGACGAATCTTGCGAACTCCCCTCCCAAGATAATTATCAATCGTACATGTACCCTAAATATAACTATTGCAAATATGTGTCTATATTAACCCCTGTATGGAAGAAAAATATATATCATGTCTTCAATAACGCAGAAAAGAAAAGTTTATGAAATTTCATGATTTTAGGGCAAATTGGAGAGGACCTCGCAAGATTATAAGTGTTGCCAATTTGTGTTTGATTGATTGGAACTATCGGGTTGGACTTCCCTTTTAAGTGTATTTATCGTTTGTAGCGTTAACATGGTTAAGATGTCAATTTTTAATTGTAAGATATGAGTTTAATACAAGATGTCATTTCGTTATTTGGTTTTAAAAATAAAGGCAATCTAGCTGCCCAAATTATAAAGCTGATGGTTGGGAGTTCCAAACTCCCGAGGGGAGGTCGGGAGATGCAGCCCCAGCCCGAGCCCCTCCTTGAACTCCTAGCGAAAGGGCTGATCTAAGGAAGTTCACGGCGTCCGCCCCCCACACACAAAATAAGTAATTAAGAATTAGGTGTTGATCTAAAATTAATTTAGATGTGCATTTATTCGACAAAAATTCTGCAATATTAATTTTTATCCATCCCCAGACCCAGTAATGATGATCACTAATGATTACATCTCTCTCTCTCTCTCTCTCTCTCTCTCTCGTTCCGACTTTTTGTGCAGGATTTCATGTTCTTCGAGAAAGCAAATAACAACAACAACAATTAAGACAGTCATCATCCAAGATTTCATATCCGACATTCCTGCGTTCCTTGGTTTCAACTAACTTATTGACGTGTAAAATAGTAATACAATATAATAATGTATATATTGCATAATTATATTACATTAAATTTGATTACAGAACTAACAATCAATAATGCATCTTGTGTCTATCGTGGTTATGCCCATTAAGAAAAAAAGTTGGAAAATGATCTACTTTTGCATCGTTTTTTGAATTAAATTTGGTTTGTACCAGACATTCAGTCATTCGAAATTCCAATAGCTGATTTTTTTTTTTTCTTCACTTTTCAGATAGACAATCAGTAGGGTGAGATTTAATCACTTTACATCATTCGTAGTATCTTACTATGTATTCACCAATCTTATTTTTTCATCTTATGACAAACTGTTATTTGCTTGCGGGTTAGGAGTGTACCAGGGCTCTGGAAATAGTAATAACATAATTTGTCTTGATACCAATTCATAATAGGTTGAAGTCGTGTTTGATACTTCCATTTTTGCAGACGTAAAATGTACCTTTTGTATATAGAGGCTGAGAATTATAGGATGAATTTATGTATAGCTATACTAACATAATATATAGGGGTTTTTTTGTACGAATTTTGTCATCCACAACCATATCTTAATAATATATGTTGTGGTGTTATGTAGTAAGGATATAATAATGTTATGAGGCTGCAAGGGAAAGTATACCGTTTATCATAAAAGACCATTTTAAATGTATTTCACACAGTTTGTTGATACATAAGTATTCTGTGTTTTATATCAAATATCGTTTCTTCAAATGAATATAATGAATGTAATCGTAGGGTCGTTGAACACTCGGGCACCGTTTCCGTTTATAAATGATTTGTTATGTTTAATTTGGGTACGTTATTGAATTACGTCAGAGTAACAATAATGGTTTGCACAAGTGGCACAACTCTATTATGTATAGACCAAGGCTGAATTGCTAAGAACTTTTAATAATTTGATTGCAAAGCAGTGCCTCAAGATTCATCTACAATGGCAATGAATGCAGTGTCGTGCGATTTTACTTCAATTTGATTGTTCATTGTATCTATACCTGTATTTTATATAAATAATGGTAAATTCTCTAATCTCGTTTTATCTTTATACCCCAAAAAACTTTAATCGATATTATATTATATTATATCCATGTTATTTATTCTGCATGTTGTTTAGAGTAGGCATGTGTGCCTTAAATGCATTATACTCGCTTTGTCTTTCTGGATTGGGATTTAATTTAGTTTCTGATCGCATCTTTATACACTGAGGCAAATGTACTCAATATACTGTATAACGTCTTTCATATCGGTTTATATCCTATATACACAAGGCTTACCTCCTTTGTGATACGCTTAATTAAGCTAAATGTCTGTGTACAATTACTTAACTTGCTTCAGTGTCATTTACAGTATGATTGCTCAAGCTGTACCGTTTTGACGCAGTGCTCACTGCACATAGGCTATCCATCATTATTGACTGACGCACAGGATGCGTCATTTTGAATGCGATATTGCTTGCGCTGATTGTCGAGCCCGTATAGGGTTAAATTCAAAGCAACAATTGCACTGTTTACTGAGCGTTCACGTTGTGTACCATAATTATCACCCGTACACGGTGCGTCAAAATGATGCGCTAGTCGCCGACGCACTCGTACGTCAGTCAAGTGACACCTTGTGAGCAACGGGCATTGCCATGGGGCAACATGGTACATTATGTAAAATCAATCTCGACAGTTTTTGTTATGCTTTAATTGTATTCATTTTGTTCTTCCGCTCATGGTAAGGATTTTTACATAGCGAATAAAATTATATTGAATTGTTGTATAATCCATAGTAAAAAAAATAGTTTTTTGATCTTAATAGTAAATGCGATTTTTTTTTTTTTTTTTTTTTTTTTTAATTATTATTATTATTTATTTCTTTTATAAAGTGAGAATTTAAATCAATGAAATCAACTCTGATGTTATTTGATCAAGGGGTGTATAGTCTGACTTATCTTGTATATGAAAAGATTATGTATATACTAATAAAATAGTGTTCTTTTGTTGAAGATGTGAGTCCCGTCAAAAACTTTGCTTATTCCTGAACGAAAAGTGAGCTACTGCTTTTTTTTAACTTCATCTATTTTAACTAACGTACAGTGACTGTATATGAGTGTAGGTGCATGTGGTGTGTTCAATGGCGTACGCAGGATGTTTTCAGGGGGGGGGTATCATTTTGAAATCGGGCCAAAAATTTCGCCACGACTCAGCCAACCGGTGAATAAGCGGTGGGAGGGAGGGGGTGTAAGAGGACTTTTTTTTTGTCCCAAACATTTCGCAACGACTCAGCCAGTCGCACCCCACACCCTATGGTAACTTATTGTTATGCTGGGGTGGAGTATTTCGGGTGCGTACCTTGTGTGAATGATTGTTTGAGGCTTAGTTTATCCCTTCGTTTAGCTTAGCTTTGACGTATATATCTTTGACATTTTTAATGGGTTTTGGGAGTGAAGTATTTGCTGGGTGTAATTTAGGGTTCATTCACCTCTTATTGAAATTGTGTTTTGCACTTTATTTTGGAGTGCCGATTTTGTGAGTGGGGAGGGAGAGTGAACCATAGTGGTTTATTACTGCATTGCTGCTTGAATTATATCATCGCTATTTTCATTATTTTGGAAGCAGAGTTGCCCTCTTACAATTTAAGTAACGGGCTTCTCGCTCCGAATGATTTATATCAAGCTTGATGATTGTCGGCAAGGGTAATTAAATATGATTAGGGTTTATAAATCGTAGTTGTAAGTTACTCAGCCAAAGATATTCTGCGTAGACATTAATATATTTTTAAATACAAATTCATTTAAGCTGTTGAACTGGGTCTGAATGTTGTAAACCAGTGACAAAGTGACTTAATCAACGGCCGTGAATTTTGTGTTTGAATATATTGTATTTAAATGTATTGATAGGAATTTAGTGAGAGGGAAAGTCTCCAGTGAATTAAAATTCTGTTTGACATAATTTTAAGGAATTGTTCGTCTAGATTGAACAATTGCACGATTGAACAATCAGTCGTACAAATGTATCTGAAAATTTGAATTTGAATTTGAATTTATTTGAATTAGTTGATAGGAAAAGTCTCCTTCTTTGAATTGAATTCTGTATTTAAATGTTTGAATGTTTGAATGTGAATTTGGATTTGAATTATTTGAGTTTGTTGATAGGAAAAGTCTCCGTTTTTTAAATTAAAATTCTGTACAATTCTGTTTAAACAGAATTCTAACAGAGTTAGTTGAATTATTTTGGAAGCAGAGTTGCCCTCTTACAATATTTTAAGTAACAGGCTTCTCGCTCCGAATGGCATATAAATCGTAGTGTAAGTTAGGGTCCTTAACAGAATTGTTCGTTTAGATTGAACAATTCTTGCACAATATTTAATACTTAGTTAATTTTTAAGGTTGATAGTTACGTAAAGTGTATACTGTTTCTCCCCCTTGCAGGTCGTGACAGGGCCGTTCTAGGCCCCGCGACCAATATGAGTCTGGGGTGAGTCGGATCGCCGAGGGAGTCGTCATGACTCCCCTCGATCAGATCACCGAGGGAGTCACCATCGCTCCCCTCGATCACATCGCCGAGGGAGGTACTATGGTTCCCCTCGATCAGATCGCCGAGGGAGGTACTATGGTTCCCCTCGATCAGATCGCCGAGGGAGTCGCTATGATTCCCCTCGATCAGATCGCCGAGGGAGTCGCTATGATTCCCCTCGATCAGATCGCCGAGGGAGTCGCCATGATTCCCCTCATTCAGATTGCCAAGGGAGTCGTCATGACTCCCCTCGATCAGATCACCGAGGGAGTCACCATCGCTCCCCTCGATCAGATCGCCGAGGGAGGTACTATGGTTCCCCTCGATCAGATCGCCGAGGGAGTCGCTATGATTCCCCTCGATCAGATCGCCGAGGGAGTCGCTATGATTCCCCTCGATCAGATCACCGAGGGAGTCGCTATGATTTCCCTCGATCAGATCGCCGAGGGAGTCGCTATGATCCCCTCGATCAGATCGCCGAGGGAGTCGCCATGATTCCCCTCGATCAGATCGCCGAGGGAGTCGCTATGATTCCCCTCGATCAGATCGCCGAGGGGGTCGCTATGGTTCCCCTCGATCAGATCGCCGAGGGAGTCGCCATGATTCCCCCCGATCAGATCGCCGAGGGAGTCGCTATGATTCCCCTTGATCAGACCACAGAGGGAGTCGCTATGATTCACCTCAAAACCGGAGGGGAGACCGGTATGATCATAGTAGGGAGCGAGAATATCGTTATTATGACCAGGATTCTCCTCGAAGTAACATATGAGTGACCGTAGTGAGTCTAGAGGCCACCGTCATAGATCTCCTTCTCCAGTAGATGGATATCGTAGATCCCCTCGTAGGTCACATGATCCACGCAGGCGGGTTTAGAGATGGGAGAGTAGCGAGGGTGTAACGTTCGAATCGCCACCCTCATGTGAGGAGGACGGTGCACCCACCTACTCGGGACTCACAGTCACAGTCCGATGAGGCTCCTTGCCCCCAACCCCTCCGGCACAAAGCAGCTTGGAAAAGAGGGTTGCCTCTCTGGAGGGCAAGATGGACTTGGTGCTTCAAAGTGTTGAAGAACTGAAGACGTCCCTTTCAGTAATAGGGCCTTTACAGACTACAGTCCAGAGTCTAGTTGATAGTGTGAGGAAGTTGCAAGTTTCTCCCGCCCGCTTCAGGGGCAGAGCCTCTCCCGCCAGGGGGGAATTTCGCACCGGGCCGGAATATGACCTGCTCAGGGGCGGTCGAGCGACTTCCAAAGTGGGGGGGCACCAACAAAAAAGGGCACTTTCTGAAGAAAAAAGGGCACCTACAGAGGGAAATCTCAAAGCGAAAATATACAATTTTTTAGACATTGGTACATACCCCTGCATTGTGATTACATTATCAGGGATGATTTCAATATTTGTTTCTCTTCATACATCATACAAGATATCGCTTAAGCATCATACTTTACAGTTGGGTGGGATGTCTGAATATGCATTTACGAGCGAGCGAAGCGAGCGAGAAAAATTTTAAAGATCTGCGAGGTCACAGTGCGAAAAATTACATCTTATAAAGAGGAAAAAAGCCAATCGTGATGGGGTTATAAGCACATTCTCTTCACGGAAGACTGAAAAGACCTTTGATAACTAACATAATTATATCATCTTTAAATGCGAGCGAGCGCAGCGAGCGAACTTTGGGGAAATTGCTCTTAGTCGCTTTAAATAAGGGGCATGTTTAATGATTTCATGAAAAGGGGACAATTATCGAAAGGGATAAGACACTTATTAGAAAAGAAAAGGAGCACGTGTCAAAGTACAAAGGATAATTATAAGAGGTGAACATGAGGCATTTTTTTCACCTGAAAAGAGGCACTCACCTGATGAAAAAGATGCGTTTACGAAAATGGGAAATAGGCAATTGTTGACGGAAAAAGGGCACCCATCAGATTTTGATAGGGGCATTTATAAGAGGTGAAAAGGAGACAGGTCCCTTATTAGAAAGGAAAAGGGGCACGTATCATTATTAAAAAGGGAATTATCAGAGGTGAAAAGAGGCACTGACCAAATATGAAAAGGGGCACTTATGAAAATGTAAAAGGGGCACTTATAATAAAGGAAAATGTGCATTTGTTGAATGAAAAGGGGGCACCGTTCAAATTTTAAAAAAGGGCCGTTATGAGAAGGGGAGGGAGCTTTTTCTTTTTAATGGGGGCACTTATCATAAGGAAAAGGGGCACTTATTAGAAAGGGAAAGCGGTAGTTATGAGAAGGGGAAGGAGCTCTCTCTTTTTAATGGGGGCACTTATCATAAGGAAAAGGGGCACTTATTAGAAGAAAAAAAGGGGCACATGTTAAAATTAAAGGTGTGCTCATCCGAGTTTAAAAAAGGGGTAGTTATTAAAAGGAGAAGGGGGCACTTCTTACAAAGGAAAAAAGGGGCAGTTGTCAAAGTAAAAGGAGCACCTCTCAGTTTTGAATAGGGCAATTATCAGAGGTGAAGGGGGCACTTATCAAAAGTGAAAAGGGGCACTTCTCGTACCTGAAAAGAGGCACTTACTAGAGATTAAAAAGGGCACTTATTAAAGATAATTTCAAGATTTATGAGAATGGAAAATGGACACTTATTGCAAAGGAAAATGGGGACATGTCGAAGGAAAAGGGGCACGTGTCAAAAATAAAAAGGGCACTCGTCAGAGGTGAAAAGGGGGAAGGGGCACTTTTATTTAGTAATAGGGGCACTTGTCAAAGTAAAAGGGGCACTTTTCCTATGTAAAAGGGGCACTTCTTACAAAATAAAAGGGGCACTTTTCCTATGTAAAAAGGGGCACTTTTGGGGTATCTGAAAAAGTGGGGGGGGCACTGTGCCCCCCCTGCCCCCCCGGGAGAACCGCCTCTGGACCTGCTACCAGTGCGGGAAATAAGAACATTCTATTTTAAAATGGAATGTCCCGAGAGGGAAGTCCCGGACTTAACATTTCCTTCGTCTCCGAGGACCCGGGAAACGACTCTGGATCGGCGTTGGCGTTGGACAAGGGTGGACCAGTGTACAATAATTCGGTAGCATTTGGAAGGGATTCTCCTCCCCCAGAAACAGGGATTAATGGTTTTTCCTCTGATGCTACAACTAGTGTGAACCCCATCCCGTTTGGGTTTGGACAAGGGTGACCCAGTGGACAATGCTGTAGCATTTGGAAGGGATTCGCCTCCCCCGGAAACGGGGATTGATGGTGTTTCCTCTGATGCTACGACTAATGACAATATCCACGAATCCAAACTGATTGGTGGCGGCCAGGACAGCATCGGTAAAATGGAAGTGCCGGGGGAAGTTCCCAACCCGATCTCTAGTAAGAAAGAGCCTCCTTCGCACTCCCCTTCCGCGAGTGCGACCCATGGGACCAGGCCTCCGACGGAGCCAAGCCCATGGCTGACACCCCCCTGGCCACCGCCTTCCGTTCAGAATCCCGACAACCCAAACTGGACACGGACGTTGTAGTTTGCCGCGTCAAGTTACC